GTATATTTGTATTAAAGTCTTTTATAATCCACTCCAGAAGCCCCAAAGCTTTGTTAAATCCGCACTGGGTTCAATATCTTTTGTAGTTTTTTCTTTTTCTTTTTCTTTTTCTTTTTTTTCTAATTCTTTATGGGTATCGCGGAAGTCCGCCTTATATTTTTCCAAAAAGGCTTCTGCCTTTAAAGTAGAATTTATTCTAAATCTTTGCTCCTTATACATAAAAGATACTCCTTCTAGTCTCTCCCATCTGAAAGAAATACCGTGTTGCTTTAATTTATCTGTGAAGGAGGAGTAATCCTTTCTTTTTCTCAATATTCTTTAAGGTATTTCTTTTAAAAAAGTCACCTTTTTGCCTGTGATACTCAGTCCATCCTTATAGTGTTTTTTCAAGATTTGTTCTCTTGTAACCTTCTGTACAAAATGAATCAATATGTCTCTTGGGACCTTTTTTTCTCTAGCAAAACATAAATTGACTCTAAAAACTTTGTCTATTTCAGAATCTAGATCTTGTTCCTCCATCACCAAAAATTGTGCTAATGCAGTAATGATGAATTTTCTTACATCTTCCCCAGGGATTTTCCATTACTGACCTCAACCTCAATATAAATTCTTTCTCCCTCATTTCTGCTAATGCAATAGCATCCAAATTTCGATCAATATCTTTAATGGCTGCTTCTAACTTAATTTCTAACAACTGTATCTGTCCTTGAGTATACTTTAGGTCAATTGACAAATTATCAATCACATCCTTCACTTTCTGGACCTCATTTCTAAATTCTTGAGTCAATTCCTTCTTTAAGTTATCTATTTTTTCATTCATTTTTATGTCTCTTTGGTCCATCTGGTGGCTTAATGCAGCAATTACATCTAATACTTTTTTCATGTCTGCACCCCCCTCAACAGGCTCTATAGAAGTTCTCGTTGATTCTCTTTTCTTTTCCTTATCCTTCTTCCCTCTTGAAGCCATTGTAGACAGTGTGAAATTCAATATCTTCAAAGAACAACAATTATAATCCAATAGCAACAGCTTTCTTCCAAGTTCTCTAACAACACAGTAGTTATTACTCCAGCTATGGAAAGCTGTCTCTTATTGTTCCCAGATATAGATAATAAAATATATAAACAACTCTCAATTCTCAAGCTTTTAAGTTCAACATGAAGGAAAAAAAAAAAAGGAAAACTCAGCTATAGAAATCCAACAGCAGATTTGTAATCCAATATAAATTTATAAGCAAGGAGAAGCAAAAGGAAAAAAAAAGAAAAATTTATAATCCCATAAAAAAGGCAAACCGTTAACAGTTTGTAGAATCCTCTATTTAAATTCCATTTAAAAATTCCATATCATAGCAAGGTCCATTTGTCAATTTCCACCCATTACATTCCATGACAGAGAATAAAAAAGTAACTCACCAGCATCTGAAAGTGTTGTCCAGAGATAGATTTTAGATATTAATAAAGCAAAAAATAATTTAAAAAAGTAATCCAAAGAGGAGGAGAGAAGAAAAAAAAAATCCCCCCTTCCTCTTCTAAAGTGATCTAAGACGCCGGGCTGCAGCGCTAATGTCTCTCATTCATGAGGCCCTCTGCATTTGTAAAGCACAATGTTTCCCAGCCACCTTGGCTATTCTACTCGCCAGCTTTCCCATGGTGGAAACCAGGAAAGGTAGGAATACAGTGGTACCTTGGGTTACGAATTTAATCCGTTCCGTGACTCTGGTCACAACCCGAATTGGTCGCAACCCGAAACAAATTATTCTTGCCAAGCCTGCTCTGCATTTTCTTTGCAGCCATGCTGACAAGCACACCAAAAACCTTCCAAAACGCCACAAAACACACCACAAGCCTCACCGAACGTCTCCGTGCTACCGCGATCTCGCCCACAGGAAGCCACGACCACATGGCAGCAGGAAAAATGGCCACAGATCCAGTTCGTAACCCAAGGCGGAGTTCGCAAACCGAGGTAAATTTTTGCGGTCAGAGCTGATCATAACCCAAAAAGTTCGTTAACAGAGGCGTTCGTAACCCGAGGTACCACTGTAGTAGCGCTCCGCGACCCTTATGGGTGATGTTCCGAATTCCCCCTATCCAGGGGAGTATTTCAGTGGTTTTCTCTCCTCTAGACCCACTGCAGATCAAATGCAGCTCAGGCAGTCCCCGGAGCTCCGAGAAACGCGTCAGCATGCTGCCTTGTCCGGGTGGAATAATTGTTAATGGAGACTTTACTAAATCATGTGAAATTCAAAAAGGTACGAGACAAGGATGCCCCTTGTCTCCATTATTATTTATATTGGTTTTAGAAGTATTCCTTAGAGATATTAGACAAGCTGACAATATTTTGGGTATAAGAGTTAAAAAAGAAGAATATA